GCATTCCCCTCCTTGGGTCAAATTCGTGTACTCCCTCCTCTTCAAGTTCACCTCGAAGTCGGAGTAGTATTGGCTAAAGAATTCTTGCCTGAAGTTCTCCCAAATGACCGCCTCACCGTACTTCCCTTTGACACCGTCCCACCACGTGGACGCCATTCCTTCTAGCAATCTTGTTGCCACTCTCATCTTCATATGGGGTGGCAGCTGCATATCAAGGGCCGCTTCATTGAATCTCTTGATCCACTCGGCCGCCACGGAGATGTCTCCCGTTCCATCAAACGGTTTACATCCCAAGTCTCTTGCCTCCTTTAGGTACTTTGAGATCCTTATGATAGGAACCTCGGCACCTCGACCTCCTCGGAGTTCAATGCTCTCCCTAGGAGTCGCGCGGCTTCCTCTCCTCGAAGCCCCTTCCAAAGCACGCCTTGCCCGGCGCCTTTGGCGATCTTGTTGGTATTGCCGGAGCAATTCCTCAATCCGTTCAAGAGCGTCATTATCATCACTCTCATCACTAGCATCATCGTGTTCCCCATCATTTTTTTTTTTTTTTTTTTTTTAACCCGGAAGGCAAACCACCAAAATCAGTGGGGCAAATGCCGGGGAACATTTGCCGAGTTTTATTAATGTTAAAAAACGGTACAAAGAAGAGGGGGACTAGACCAAAACCTCTTCAGAAATACAAGAATAATATAATTAAACGAGAGAAGAAATTAACACCTAGATTATGGAGGGCTAGACCTTACCCAAAAATACAGATTAAAAAACAAAAACCTGAAAGAAGAAAGTCCAATTTAAAACCGAACTCTAGGAATACCGAACAAATCCGCATAATAACTCGATTTTACCTGTCGGGGTAAAATTTCAACCTGATCAAACCGAACACAAAGGGCTGGAGCAATGTTTTGGGCCGCTAAGAAATGAGCAGGCCCATTTCCTTCTCTTAAAACATGGCCGAAAGAGAAGCCCATTCCCATAGCCTTTCTCCTGAATTCCTGTAGCCCAGCGTGATTGCCTAATTCCTCCATCACCATCAACGTTCGGACAGCATCGGTTTCCACCTGGGTATCGGTATATCCGTTCTCCATTGCCATTTCAACAGCTAGCTTCAAAGCTCTCATCTCTGCCTCCTCGCTCGAATCTGCTTGGAGTTGATAGGTTGTTGCATAAATCATTTCTCCCAGTTGATTCCTCAGTATGGCACCCCCTCGAGCAAAACCAGGTAAGAATGCTGCGTCGACATTCAATTTATACAATTTGCTAGGCCGCTCCCACTTGATAACCTGTATTCCTGAAGTTCTGAACTTGAAATTACTTGGGATCAACTTTTCACGAATTAGAAATTCATCGATGGGTTTAGGTTTGATTTTAGTCAAACTACTAACCCAACTCTGTGTGTAACACTTTATCTGTGAAATGATAAACTCGGGAGAAGGAATAGGTCTCGCTCCCCACACATAGGATGAGTAGGCTTTCCATAGATGCCAACTAATAATTCCTGGCAAATTATGTTTAAATATATCTGTCAATCGTTTAGAACCAGCTTCAAGCCACCACTGTATGAAGATCTGTTTAATTGTAGAGGTTGTGGTAACTTTGATTCCAAATAACCCCATGAAGTAATGCCATACTTTTCTAGAATAGGAACAATCATATATTAAGTGAAAAGCTGACTCACCATTGATTTTACAAAAAGGGCATCTGGTTGGATATAAAGCAATCTGAAATCTTCTTAGATTTTCTGGGAAAGGGGTGTAAGCATTCAATAACTTCCACAAGAATACCTTAACTGCCATGTGTTGATATTTATTCCAAATGTGTTTGTCTGAGAAGGTTTCTGATCTATACTCCCTTATTTCATGATATGCAGAAGATAGACTGAAGGTGCCATTGATTCCAGGGTCCCATTGAGTAACACCCAGCTCAGATTCAGAACAGAGGGTAGCAGCAAAGTCATTAATATCACATAACCGTCTCCAAACTGAGGAATCAGTCACCTTAGGTCTCATATCACCACCTCTAGGATATCTTGCATTAATGAATTTACTCCAAAGGGAGTCTTTTGTTTTCCATTTCCACCATAGCTTTAATGTATAAGCTTTCTCCACATCAGTTAGGGATCTAATACCCAATCCACCTTCTGTAGTAGGGAAACAAATTTTTGACCATTTAGCCCAGTGAACCTTATTCTTCTCTCCAGATGTACCCCAAAAGAAACCTGCCATTTTCCTTTCTAGAGCAGAAATTACACTCTTTGGTAGCATGTCAATGGCCAAAATATGATTGGGAATTGTGGAGAGCACATGTTTGATCAAAATTAACCTACCTCCTTGTGATAAGATTTTTTGCTTCCAAGATGAGAGTTTGGAATCAAAATGCTTGAGTAATTGTTGACAGTATTGATATCTGTTCCTTCCTTTATGCAGGTTAGCTCCCAGATATTTTAAAGGAAGACTGGACTTCTTCATTCCCAAGATTTTATTAATTGCCGCACTCCTGTAAGTAGCTTTCTTCCCACATATGAAGCTACTTTTGTCCAGGTTGACTGTCTGACCAGAAACAGCTTGAAAATCATTCACAAAGTTTTTAAATTTTACTAGTGAACGAGCCCCTCCATTAGTGAAAATCAATAGATCGTCCGCAAACCCTAGATGGCTAATGGGATAGCCTTGATTCCCCAACCAGTATGGCCTGATTTCACCCGATGCCATTTTATTCTTAAGACCCCTAGAAAAGCCTTCAGAAGCTATAATGAAAAGAAAGGGGGAGATAGGATCCCCTTGTTTAACTCCTCTCTTGGGTTGAAAAAACCCATGAGGACTACCATTTATAATGATGGATAAGAAAGAGGACTCCAAATTGGCCTTGATCAGGGAGATGAATTTATCTGAAAACCCAAACTTAGACATAGTTCCATAAAGATAGCTCCATGATAGCTTGTCAAAAGCCTTTGCCATGTCAAGTTTAATAACCACATTTGACCCCCTTATATTTTTATCAATAGAATGAATCATCTCTTGAGCCATTAAAATTTGATCACTAATGTCTCTGTTTTGTACAAACCCAGCCTGTTCTTCAGAAATAATCTTTGGCAGTAAGGTAGCCAATCTTGAGGCTAAGACTTTAGAACAAATCTTATTGGTGAAATTTGAAAGACATATGGGTCTGAAGTCTGAAAAGGAATCAGGGGTTTCTTTCTTAGGGATTAAGACAATCAGGGAGCTAGATATTCCTTTAGGAAGAGGCACACCTATAAAATAGTCCTGCACTGCGCTGATAACGTCTTCTCCCACTATATGCCAACATTTTTTGAAAAATTTCCCAGAAAAACCATCCGGACCTGGAGCCCCATTCTGATTTAAGTCCCAAACAGCAGTTTTTACCTCTTCACCTGTGGGTAATGAAGTTAGGAATTCATTGTCTGGATTACTGATCAATGCAGGTATATGTCTCAAAAATTCGGTGGCAGGCTCAGCAGGAACATTGGCATACATATTTGAGAAGAAATCCACAGCACCTTTCCCTATCTCAGATGAATTAGAAAGAATTCTACCATCAGCATCCTTAATGTTGGTAATCAGCAGTTTCCTCCTTCTAATTTTGACTAAAGAATGAAAATAGTGAGAGTTACTATCTCCATCCTTTAGCCATTTAACATGGGCTTTCTGCTTCCAGTATTTCCTTTGCAACTTATACTTATTGAGGAGTAAAGCCTTTTTATACTGCCAGTCTTCTCTGTTAGCTTCGGTGGAATTTTCTGAATAGGCCTCCTCAGCCTTAGATACCTCCTCTTCAGCATATTTGATATCATCAAAGATATTCCCAAATACTTCTTTGTTCCATTTTTTCAAATCTTTTTTAAGCTTTTTAAGCTTTATCACTAAACCATGCAATCCTCCTCCTGTAGTGGTCTCTTTCCAACTTTCAGTTACTGTAGAGAAAAATGAATTGTGGGAAATCCACATATTTTGAAACCTAAAAGGTTTTGGCCCTGACTGAGAGTGGTTAGAGCATTGCATTAACATAGGACAGTGATCTGAGGGAGCTTGGTTAAGATTAGTGAGCAAAATTTGATCAAACATGTCCATAAAAGCATCATTAACAAAACACCTGTCCAATCTTCTCCATAATCTTCCTCTAGTCCTGACTCCTGTCCATGTGTATTTGCATCCCTTGTAAGGTAAATCAATGAGTTTGCAATCTGAAATACAGTCCTTAAACTCCAACATACTAGCCTGATTAGGAATTGTGTCTCCTTTATGCTCAGCATTATACATGATAGTGTTAAAATCTCCCCCTACAAGCCAGGGGAGCTGCATATGATCTGCTAACTGAGTCAATTTGATCCATAATGCTCTCCTTTCCACCTGTGTATGTCTAGCATAAACTGCTGTAATCCAACCAGATTTTGATGCCCAAGTAAATTTGAAATGAGAAAATTGAGCATCCCAAGTAAAATCTGTAATGCTGATGAGGCTAGAATCCCAGAAAATCCAAACTTTATTTAAAGGACTAAATGCAACATTAGAAAATCCAAATTGCAATTTAAAGTGGTCAGCTTTACTAGAATCAACAAGGGGTTCAATTGCAACTAGAAAATGAATCCTCCATTTATTTATTAAGTGGGATAGTCTTGGCTCGGAGGCAGCCAGACCTCTCATATTCCATATCAGACCATTCATTGAGAGGGGTGGTGGGAAGTAATTGGGTGCCTCTTGGCAGCATTTCTGGTGATGACTCCTGGAGTTTGGTTAGGTGTTTTCTTTTGTCTTCTTCTTCTTCCCACAGTGATAAACTCCCCTGGATCTTCCTGACTGTAGTTGACTTGGTTTGCCTGAGTCTGACCAAGAGCCAATATAAGTTCAGAGTCTTCCTTAGATTTCCTTGAACTTATCAATGCGCCCACTTTAGTACTGAGATCTGGCAAGGCTGCTAACCAATCTTCCTTGTTTTCCATTGTGTGAGGTGTTTCAGAATCTGAGCCATATTCCTTTGCTGCTATTTCTGGATCAAAGTCTGCTGCTCTAGCCAGGTGAGTTAATGAAAAATCATCCTTTGAAATTTCACAGTCTTTGGAAATAGCAAGACCATGAATGTTACTATGAAGAAGGTAGTCTAAATTAGACATACTGATTTGAGCATTGTTATTATTGGCCTTTGTAACAGGTGGAGGATCATGATAAACCTCTTCTGTCTCTGAATCAGAGTCCAATTGACTAACCGGTGAAGCCTGAGGCTTGGAGGTGGATGGCATATTCTGTGGAGCTTGCTGAAAGACTACTAAGGCCTTCCCCTTATCTTTAGTAGATACCCCTTGTGTAATTTGAGCATTCCCCGTTGTAATATTATCATGTATAGCATTCTGCATTGCAGCAGCGTCTGAGTTAGCAGGATTGGGCCCTTGGGTACTAGTCAGCACAGGTTGTTTCTTGGGTACCCAATTCCGCCCCCTTGGACCCAATTCTTCTTTCTGAACAGGTCGTCCCCCATCAATCATACCAAACTCCCTGACTTCTTGTCCATTTTTAGGGCATTTGCTTGAGATATGCCCCAAGTGTAAACATGATAAGCAATAGTGGGGCCTGTTTTCATACACAATGGATTGAGTGAATCCAGTTTTCCCGGCTTGAATCCAAATTTTGCTTGGCATTTCTTTAGTAAGGTCAAGTTCCACACAAACCCTTGCTAAAGATGGCCTTGCCAAAGTTGTAGTAGCTATATCCAATTTTAGAGGCTTACCAATTAAGCCTGCAATAGCAAACATGGCCCTTTTGTCATGAAAATGAATTGGAAGACCTTCGAGAGTCAGCCAAACCGGAACAATTGGCGATTCTACATTAGGTCTAAAATCCGGTGACCATTTAGTCACCCTCATTACATTTCCATGAATATCCCATACTTGCCGATTCCAACATCGGATGTAATCCTCTTCCAAATCGAATCTGATCAATACATGTTTTTTCTCCAACAAGCCCAAATGAAAACCTCCTTTAAATCCAGTCATCTCAAACGATCTACGAAGTGTGTTCATAGGAGGCCTACCTTTATAGAAATAACCCACGAGTGCATTTTTGTGTCTGTCGGCAATGGTTTCCACAGCATCTTCTGAAAAATTTACCGCTGGCAATCCTTTGAAGCGGCTGTAGGAAGTGTCCAGTGTTCCTTCTTCCTTATTGAGAAGAACGGATACAAATGATCGCTTGGAACCGCCCCATACATTATTTGGCGGCGGTGGTTGGGCCGACGACGGCAGCGCCGTCAAAACTTTAGGTTTCTCAGTCATGGCTTAAGGATAGAGATACTATATTCCGACTTCGTGTTCCCCATCATATGGGGTGTCAACCGGCTCAGTTCCCGGTTGGTAAGTTGAATCCTCCTCGGACTCATAGTGCTCATCTATTGTTTCCACGTGACCGTCACTCACGGTCAGCGAGTGGCCTGCTCGGCCCTGTCCCCCAGACTCTCTTGATCCCCCCTGACTGCCACGTTGGGATCCTCCCAGCACCTGGCCAGTCGGGTTCCGTCGAGTCACTCTACCGGTGCGTTCCATTTCTGAAAGAAGTTTAGAATGAGCCATTAGGCTCGTATCAAGTGTCAAGTGACGGATAGGTACTTAAAGACACCTTTCGGCTCAAATCACCGTCATACCAATTGTTAAGGGTACCATCTTAACAATTAGAGACTTTGCAACTCAAGTACCAAAAGTTCTATAAGTACAAAACTTTTATGCTCATGGTTTTCAAAATCATTTTCAAAAGGGATTTTGAAGCTTCATTATGAAGTTTACGGACTAAGGCTCTGATACCAATTAAATTGTCACGCCCCGGACCTACCGGACACGTCAACAACCCGCCGTACAGTACGAATAGTCAACCGCAGTCCAACTCATCCATACTATACTAGGCGTCTTGAATACCATTCACACATAGTACATCCATAAACAAACATAATGTAAAATATTCATTTAAAGCAGCGGAAACATTAATACACGTATTCAAGCCACACGTGGCAAACATGGGCATACAAGCCCCCAAATAGTATTCAAAATAATTTCCATGAGCATTATTGTAATTGTTTAAAACAGAAACGGAAGAAGCACGAACCACGTCCTCCTCCTTTGATCTTCCCGAAGCAACGGGCGTGGTAGCAACCTTCAAGTCCTACCTGAAACTGTGAGGTGGCCTCCCCCGTGAAGGGGAGGTCAGTACTTGGAAGCATTTGACAAGTACAATGACAACTATACTAAGTATAATCAACGTTTCAATTTCCAAGACCCTCAATTAGGGTGATATTACAATATAGGTCATAACTCGTGGTTACCCTCTTTACAAATATACTTACTTTATATATAAAGTCAAGTAATCGGCCGAAGGCTCATGTTTACTTTGAAAACATTTAACCCTTCCCCCGTGACTTCAAGCCACACCCATCTATATCAGTTTACCATGCTAGAGGCTTCCTCTAGTCATGTTCTGTCGTGCTAGAGGCTGACTCTAGTCACTACATTCGGTGTTAGAGGCTTCCTCTAATCACCTTACATACTTTGTGCTGGAGGCTTCCTCCAGTCACATTACATTATGCTAGAGGCTTCCTCTAGTCATCTTACACTACGCTAGAGGCTTCCTCTAGTCGTCCTACACGAATGCTGGAGACTTCCTCCAGTCATTCATCATCGTGCTAGAGGCTTCCTCTAGTCACGATACTACTCACTAAGCAAATTCTATGCCTAGGTTTTCTCTATCTTGAGTAGCCTATGAGGCCTACTCCTAATGTAATTTAGCGGTTACCCATTCCTACCTTAAGACATCTCATAAGACTACTTAAGGTGCATCCTTCACAATCCAAGCCCTTAGGATTTGTTCTATCACTTTTTACACTAACATTCCCGACTAGTGAGTTCAATACTAATCCATTAGTCTTTAAACAACCAAGATCTTTAATTCATTGTTATAAGGCTCATTCCTACGGATCTTCCACTCCGTGTAGGATTTAATCTCAATATAAAAATATCACTTTTATCCATTCATGATTTCTACACATGAAGTAAAAGTATATTTTATCACATAAATTCATGGTTTGCACAATCATTATACCATCATATTTGTAATGCATCATCATACACAATTTTCTCATAAACTTGTATGTTATGCATCTTCTATTCACAAACAATAATATTTCCATTTAGGCATTACTAATCATTAATAACCTATGAAAATCACATTTAATTACTTTAGGTAATCTTATGAAATTAACCCAAAGATTATAAACAATATAGTCGGTCATCCTCACCTCAAATGAGCTTTAAAACTTTCCTTCTCGATCCAATGACCAAAGCCTCGGCCAAGAAAGATTGAGGACTGATTCCTTGCTTGGAATTGAGTGTTAAACAGCCTCTTCAAAGTGCTAGTTCAACTCCTAACCGAAGACACAAAAACAGTCCCTAGAACGGGTGTTTCCCGACGAAATCGTTCCCTAACCTTTCCAGGTTTTGTCTAGATTAGTATCTAACTTTTCCAACAATTAAAGTCACTTTATAATAACATTTTATACACTTCAATCAGTGTATAATAGTTCTTCAATCATTTATATGGTTTAGACAATAGAGAGGAATGTTTTGGATTCAAACTTACTTTGAATACAAAAACGTATTCCGCGAGGTTGTGTTTTGCTCGGACGATTTGAAAGCCTTCCACTACTCCGATTGATGCAAACCAGACCTTCACGGATTCCTCGTCTTGAGAGATTTCTGTGGGTATCTCGCACGCCTTATTTGGATGTGTATAACTCGAGATATGAAGCAAACAAGTAACCTTACGCACTGGAAAACGAACCTGCGGCAGCTTCCCCTTCCTCTTGCTTTCTTGGTTGTGTGGCTCTCTCTTTCTCCCTTATCCTTGGGAGTTCGAATGAGGGGCTTAAGGGAGTGTCCAAGACCCTTCAATAAGGGTGGATAAGTTGTGTGGAGTGAAATGAATTGGTATGGTCTCCATGAGATGTTTTTAGACATGGGTGGGTCTCACTTTTGATCTCTTTGTCATAAGATGTCTCTTTGTACTCATTCTAATTTATTTGGAACAAGTCAACTCTCTACATCATATTATTGATCTCCAATATGTGTATGATCATCCCGATAATTTACATGATGAATATTATAGAAGAAAAACCCTACTCCCATTATTTAGCTCAATAATGCCAAAGATGGGGTTATAGGCATTTGTATTCTTCTCAAATCATCCTATCACTTATTTTGACATTTGCCATTCATATTATTAGACTACAAGCCGTGTGGGTCGCCCCCGAGTGGGCCTACGACGCCATTCTCGAATACTTGCTATTCTAGCGGGTTGAGCCCAAAAAAAATATCTGGGCCGCCCGCCCTTCCTCAACTTGTCTTGAAACGTTATGTATTAATATTTAGATAATGTTAGGCTCTTTTATTTATTAATAAGGCCCGATACTTATATACGAGTTCGAACAGTACAATAATCGATCATTAATTACGTAAAACATTAATCGTTTTACAATCGTTTGGGAATCAGAAATCCAATACATAAACTTTGAATTTTAAAATCAAGTTTTCAAGGACGTTCGGGTGCGGTGTCACATTCTGCTTGGGCTTGGAGTAGCTGTAAACGAAAGACAGGTCCAGATGAAAGGGGAAGAAACTTCGGTCGGATGAAAGAATGATACAGTCTAGGAATTCTCATTAAGATGGAGAAGAGAATTCGAGAAATGTATGAAATGTAAGGGCAGTTTACAGAGAGATAAGGAAAGAAGATGTGTAATGAGAATTTGATTGATAACAGCCTCCCTATACAATTCCCAGCCTCCTATATATGGTTCTAATTAGCTAACAACTTGTTCAACTAACTAAACCGATTTATTCCAGAAAATAATACGGCTAAACTAGTTCCCAATTAAAACTAACTGTATCAATACTCCCCCTTTACAATCGACTTGTCCTCAAGTCACTTGACTATAAAATGTTAGGAATTTTTCCTTGATGTGTTCAGCCCACTCCCAGGTAGCATCTGGCTCCTCCTGTCCTTGCTATTGAATGAGAAATTTGATCTTAGCTTGATTCCGAGCCTTCACCATCTGTCTTGCCAACACAGCCCATGGCTTCAGAGTGCTCTCCTTATCTATATTATGTAACCAAGTAGGAATATGAGGTTTAGCTGGCAATATTCCTTTGAACTCCTTCAATTGAGAAACATGGAAAGTATTATGAATCTTTGCTTCAGCTGGCAACTTCAACTGATAAGCCACTTTTCCCACTGTTTGGCTTATTTGAAAAGGACCATAGAACTTAGGGGCTAGTTTATCATTCCATCTGTATTCCACTATGGTCTGTCTGTAGGATTCCAATTTCAACCATACCCAATCTCCAATATTAAACATTCTTTCTGATCTCTTCTTATCAGCCCACATATTCATCCTGTTTTGTGCTCTTTGCAAATGTAACTTTAGAAGCTGAATCATGCTCTCCCTTTACTGCATTGATCTGTCCACAGCTGCAATCTTAGTTTCCCCAGCCAAGTAAGGTAGATGTAAGGGAGGAGGCTGATTATGTCACGCCCCAGACCGCAATCCAAGCGCGTGTACAACCGCCGTATAATCAAGTGACGTCACCCGCGAGTCAACCTCACTTAATTACACAAGGCGTTCGAGAATATAATTCATCCATACTCAGTAGTAAACATACATAACGACATCACATTTAAACCAATGAATAGCGGAAATATTCAACCGTAAGTCATAAGCCACAACCGGCCAACAACATGGGCATGCAAGCCCCAAAAATAGTTTATAGTAGAACAAATATCCATGAGCATGTGTTCGGTAGTTTGAAAGAAAATAAGGAAGCACGAACCACGTCTCCCTGAAGTTGATATCACCCGTAAGAAGGTGCAGGTAGCAAGCCCTAGCTTCAACCTGAAAATGGTGGGCCCCCCGAAGGGGTCAGTACAAGTACCGAGCGAGTAGCAGGCTAAATATAGAATAACTAGCGTTTCAAGTATAAGACCCAAACATAGGGTGATACTTATATAAATAGTCCTTTCCCCCAAGTTATGAAATACTCATTAGTATATATATACTTGGAAAATACCCGATCCGTAGATCACCGTTTTATTTGGGAAAATAGTAATAGTCAATATCCTTGACTAAAAACCCTCAACCCACCCATATACCTATGAGTGTATAGGATTCCTCCTTGTCCCTATTTCAATATCATAATCTATGAGTGTTAAGTACTTTTAAGTACTAGGGTCCTCCACCAAATTTTGAGTGTTAGGTACTTTTAAGTACTAGGGTCCTCCACCAAATTTTGAGTGTTAAATACTTTTAAGTACTAGGGTCCTCCACCAATTTATTATCCGAGTGTTAAGGACTTTAAGCCCCAGAGTCCTCCACCAATTTATAATTCGAGTGTTAAGGACTTTAAGCCCCAGGGTCCTCCACCAAGTTTTGAGTGTTAAGTACTTTTAAGTACTAGGGTCCTCCACCAAGTTTTGAGTGTTAAGTACTTTTAAGTACTAGGGTCCTCCACCAAATTTTGAGTGTTAAGTACTCTTAAGTACTAGGGTCCTCCACCAAATTTTTGAGTGTTATGTACTTTTAAGTACTAGGGTCCTCCACCAAATTTTGAGTGTTAAGTACTTTTAAGTATTAGGGTCCTCCACCAAAATATTTTCCTATGATCAACCTCCTATCAACCTAGATAGAGTCTATATCATTCTTAGTTACTCATAACTAATTCAATACATAAAGCTTATGTATCACAATCCATGCAAAGCCATGCAATTATATAAATGTATAATTCACTAATATCAACCGATATTAATTAATCCATTATCCATCGGTCAACGTTGTCATTGACCGCCAATTCAAGCCTTGTACATATCAACTTAATCATCATATAATTAAGTTAATAATACTCATTTGTGCTTCTTTTACACTTCAAGCTAATATGCATTTTATATAATTCCTCATATCATATTTCATGCATAAACAATTAATTCTTTTCATACAACTTAATCATGTTGGCTAATCACATGTTTAAATATCTTTTAAACATCATTATGAACACATATAACATTTATTTAGGTAATCTCATAATTAACCCAAAAGTTATAAGATATTAAGCCGTCCACTCACCTTGAACTAGCGTTATGAAGTTCTACCCCTCTTGGTTGAACTCCGGTGAAACTCCGGCGACTTTTGGTCAACTCCGGCGACAACTCCGGCGACTTTTCCAACTTTGTGAAATCACTTGAAATACTTTTCACAAGTTCCTAACAAGGTTTTATAATCATAAAACCCATATTAATACAAATAACCTCAAAACGGTTATTTTCCGGTGAACCGGTCGTTTTGGCTTCTAAGTCCGTTCTTGGACATAGAATCACTTTCCAACCCATTAATCCATACTTATAACATGTAGAACCCTCTTAAGGATTCTTCACATGATATATATCTCATATGGTAGAAGAAAAATAGAGAGGAGATTATAATAAGGTCATTACCTTAATTATTTCACACTTTTAGCACTTTAGCTCCTTTTTGGGTGATTCTTCCTTGATGAGCTCTCTTCAACAATGGAGGAAAGAGGCTGGAGAGTCTTCTTTTTTCTTTTTGTTTTAGCTTGGCCGAAAATGAGGAGGGGAGGGGGATGAGAATGGACCTTTGTCTCATTAATCCAATGAGTGCAAAAATGAGGGTCCACCTTAGGTACTTTGATGCCTTTCCATTCAATCTCCAACACCTCCCACCTTCCCATTCTCATTCCAGCGGCCCAACCTTGGTCTTGAGTGTCTAATTTCGTGGGTTGGCCCCCACCTATGTGGGAGGTCACCCATTTATGTCCCGATGTGTACAATTGGCCCCGAAAGTTGTATTTTTCGGACTGTTTTAAATATATTTTATTTTATCGGGTCAAATAAAATATATTATGTGCTCTTACTCATTATGACATGTATAATGAATATACATTCCCCAACTTTAATTTATAAGCCTCCGAAATTCAATTCGGGCTGTTATCTGTTAAATTACCAGTACCGGTAATTTGGGCTTCTTTTGACCAATCGGTCAACTCCGGGCCTTTCCATGACCCAAATGAAATATCCACCACTATATATTTATTATCTAGACCAAGATGAATAAAACATATGGTCTCGGGAATGTCGGGCGGCCCCCGCTCCCGGTGTGAGTCCCACGTGCAATTTACTATTCATGCGAAAGAATTAATAAAAATTTACAACTTCGTAAATTCATAAATTATTCTATAAGGTTTATTACATCATTTACTTGAAAGTAAATACATTTGGGAACGGTGTTACAGATTATATACTGCCTCATAAGGAGTCATTCCTATGGCAGAGTGAAAAGTGGTGTTATACCAATATTCCGCTAATGGCAGCCACTTACACCAGCTTTGTGATTTCTCAAAGCACATGCACCTCAAATAATTTTCTAAACATCTGTTTACTACTTCTGTTTGACCATCTGTCTGAGGATGGAATGAAGTAGATAGCAGCAGGTCCACCCCTTGCACACTAAATAAAGCCTTCCAAAAAGTGCTTAGAAAAACTAATCCTTTATCACTCACAATAGTACTTGGCCAACCATGAAGCTTAAACACATGATCCAAGTAGCTTCGATCTATTTCAATTGTTGTAAACGGATGTTTAAGGGTCATGAAATGTGCATACTTGCTTAATTTGTCCACTACTACAAATATAACATTTCTTCCATAAGATGTAGGCAATCCTTCAATAAAATCCGTGGACACGTCCACCCAGACCTCTTTAGGAATTGGTAATGGTTGTAACTTCCCTAGATATGCAGAATTATCATATTTGCAAGCCTGGCAAATCTGACAAGCTCTAATGAAAGCTTGAGTATCTTTATTAAGACCTTTCCAATGAAACAAGTGCCTAATTCTTGTCCTGAATGCCCCCCAGTGGCAGAACTGTGGGCCCATTGTAATATTTTTTTTCTAATGCTAGGATCTTGTCGTACTACCAGTTTGCCTTTCTTCCTCAAAACCCCTTCATGAAAAGTGTAAACTGTGTCACCCATCATTGTATTACTTTACAATTGATCCATAATCTTTTTCAGATGATCATCTCCTTCATTACTCTTCTTGATCATATCCATCAAATCTATTTGTATTGAAGATATAGCTATACAAAGTAGTTCTGCCCCAGTCACCCTAGATAATGCATCAGCCACCTTATTCTCAACTCCACTTTTGTACTGAATTTCATATCTAAACCCCATCAATTTAGATAACCAAAATTGTTGAAAAGGGGTTGAAATCTTTTGCTCCAGCAACCATTTCAGACTCTTTTGGTCCGTCTTAATGATAAAGGTCTGACCAAAGAGTTACTGCTCCCATTTTTTGAACAGAAAACACCAATGCTAACAACTCCTCATATATTGATAGATTCTGCCATCTGGTGCCTAGTGACCTGCTTATGAAAGCCAATGGATGTTCTTCCTGCATCAAGACAGCCCCTATGCCCATATTTGATGCATCTGTTTCAATAACAAACTGTTTATTGAAATCAGGCAATGCTAAGACTGGTGCAGCGCTTAGAGCTTGTTTCAACCTCTCAAATGCCACCATAGCTTCTTCAGACCATTTAAAAGCTTCCTTCTTCAATAAATTTGTCAATGGTTTGGCTATTATTGCACCTGATGAACTTCCTGTAATAACCTGCTAAGCCAAGAAACTTCTGAGTTGTTTTAATGAAGCATGAATTGGCCATTTGACTATAGTCTTAATCTTTCTTCCATCTGTTTCCTGCCCTTTCCCAGATATGAAGTGCCCCAAGTACTCCACCCTCTTCATACCAAAATTGCATTTGCTTTTCTCAGCATATAATTGATGTTGCTTAAGAACTTCAAACACCTGTTGCAAATGTATCTTGTGGCTTTCCAAATCAGGGCTATATACAAGAATATCATCAAAGAAGATAAGAACAAATTTCCTCAGAAAGTCCTTGAATATATGATTCATAAAACTTTGAAAAGTAGCTGGTGCATTAGTTAACCCAAAGGACATAACTAGTAACTTAAAATGACCATAATGAGTCTTAAAGGCTGTTTTATGCACATCTTCTGGACATACTCTCAACTGGTGATAGCCTGGTCTTAGATCCAGTTTAGAAAATATGTTTGCTCCAGCTAATTCATCAATCAACTCATCAATTACAGGAATTGGGAACTTATCTTTAATGGTTTGTTTGTTCAGAGCTTTGTAATCTGTGCACAGTCTCCAATCTCCATCCTTTTTGTTTACTAACACCACTGGAGAAGCATAAGGAGAAGAGCTGGGTTGAATGATATCTTCATCCAACAGTTCTTTCACTTTCTATTCTATTATATCCTTATGTTTTAAAGGGTGTCTATAAGGTCGGATATTGACAGGTTGTGACCCTTCTTTAATAGTTATCCTGTGATCAAATACACCTGTGCTTGGTGGCAGACCTTTAGGTTCCTGGAAGATCTCCTTATACTGCTCAATAATATCATTCAAACATTCAGGAGTTGTCCCCTCTTCTATTTTGATTCTAAAATGAATTTCTTCTCCTTCCAATTTAATGTCTCCTGCTGTATCAGGTAGATAATGTATTAGGTACAGTTGAGTTGCTTGTGCACTTGTTTGGTTGTCCCACTTATGGTCTTCAATCTTCCAGGTTTTTGGCCTCTCAATACTACCATTTGACCTTTGTACTTAAATTTCATCTGAAGTTCCTGAAAATTCCAATTAATATCTCCAAGTGTACATAGCCATTGTACTCCCAATACCATATCATAAGCCTGCAATGGAAGTAACAACACATCTGAAGAAAACTGAGTATTCTGCATCTTCCAATTCAGATTCTTGCATTTATACTGGCACTTCAATTGTGGCCCATCTGCTACTGCTACAGGTATTGGTGAAATATGTTCCATTCTACAACCCAACCTCTTGGTTATGGTAGTACTCAAAAAATTACGAGTACTGCTTGAATCAATCAGAAGCAATACTAGTTTTCTGCCCACATATCCTGTAACCCTCATAGTTCTGAAATATGCATACCCATTAATAGCATTGAAAGAGATTAATGGTTCCACGTTAGTCATGTTGCTTCCCATATTAGAGTCTATCTCTATATCTTCAGCATGACTTTTCATCTCCATCTCCCCTTCTTGTTCACAGCCTGATACTTCCACAAAAAACAATTGAGTACCCTTATGGCTGCACTTATGCTCTTTACTGAATGGCTGGTCACAGTAGTATCATAAACCTTTAGCTCTCTTTTTGGCTCTCTCATTAGCTGATACAAATCTTCTTGGGACTGTATTTGTAGGCCATTTCAACATACTTGAGCTATTTTGATTGAATGTCACTGACACATTCTTCTGGTGTATAATGGGAGTAGGAAGCAATGGTTTAGATATAGGAATCTTGTGATGATTGACAGATTTGGTCTGATTAGCCAAGGCTTCCACAGTATCTTCTTGTAACCTAGCAAACTCTATTGCTTCAGCCATAGTATTGGGCTTAAAAGCTTCAACAAATGATTTAAGCGTGGGCTTCAAAGCGGCTAGGAAACAATCCAAATTCATCAACAAATTCTTCCATCGGCCCTGTCTGTTTCAAATTATTGAACCTCTCCACCACCTATTAATATTGAATCTCGCATATACATCTGCCACAAATTGACTCCACAACAATTTCTTTCTTGACATGATATAATTCCCAAACCAATTAGCCGCTCTTCCCTCAAGGTATAATGAAGCTAAATTTACCTTTTGTTTATTAGGAATAACACAGTTTGAAGTATCTTTCACATTTTTGTACCCAGATTTTAGCATTCTGACCTTCGAAAGAGGGAAATTCTACTTTAGGCATGAATCGCTATTGTTGTGCAGCTGAAGATTTTCCAGAATGATTGCCTCCCTCATCATCATCATCTGATGATGATCCTTCATCCGTACTGGAAGTACTGCTTCCTTCATCTTGTATTGCCCTCTTTCCTTTCTTCTTTTGTAGTTCAACCGCTTTCTTCATAACTTTTGACATCATACCCATCATCAGCTTATTTCGCATTTCTAGCTTCTGATCAAAATCCACCTACAACAGCTTCAAGGCTTCCTCCATGTCTGCGGTGGAATTCCGAGTCTAAACCATGCTTCGAACATACAACCACCGTGTCCTTCGTTCGAACTCGGATGCACTGATATTGGAGTAATTGATGTGTAAAATTAGGATCAATGCTCTGATATCAATGATACAGTCCAGGAATTCTCATAAAGATGGAGAAGAGAATTCGAGAAATGTATGAAACGTAAGAGCAGTTTACAGAGAGATAGGGAAAGAAGATGTGTAATGAGACTTTGATTGATAACAGCCTCCTATACAATTCCCATTCAATGGCTATATATGGTTCTAATTAGCTAACAACTTGTTCAGTCTCTATATGGCTATACTTCCAAAAAATATTTCTCAATCTCTCTAAATAGTCTCAAAGGTATTTAAAAATATTTGATGGTCCCGGATAAAGGTAAAAGTCTAGAGGGGGGGGTGAATAGACTTTTAAAGCT